GTTATGAGACGTTTAGTTCATGGATTTAGAACCATGATTCGTGATTTTGATTTTTGAAATTCAAATTTTTTGTTAGAGAAAGACATTATAAAGAACCAAGAACCATGATTCAGAACTAGGACGAACTCTTGAAACAAACATTACATTAATCTTTGTTTTGTGGTTCCTCCAAGCACTAACGAATTAACACTTTATTTTTCTTTGTTTTCAAAATTTCATCAAAATAGTACTTATTCGTGGCAGATTTTCTTAACTCCAGATTGTTTTGTTATTTATTTGCTCATGTATATATGCTAGTATGCATTTATCTCTCTTCTTTTTCTCTGATTACAAGTTTAACGTAATTGTTTGATCCTTTACGCACTTTGGCTCACACTCTGCTTGGTTCTGGTTTAACGTAATATATATTATGAATTCGGCATCTGTTATTCAAATTGATTCATTTTCTTGTTATGCTATTTGTTTGTTTTCTGGTTTCTTTCATAATTACAGTTCATATTCCTCAATTCTTATGTACATCTATATCAGTATATAGGGGATTATTTTATTTGTCTCTCTTGTTTTGATGTTGGTCGTATGGTTCTTTCTCTTGTGTAAATTTTCATTGTTATTTATTGGCAACTATCCCCCTCTTCCCTATTTATTAATGCTGTGAAATTTTTTTATGAGAGTTTTTTTCTTTCCATTCAATCTTAAATCCACACTTTTGTTTAAAATAGGTTAATTCAAATGTATTCCGACAATATTTTGCTTCTCTGTTCCAATGAGTTAATCCTTCATTTTAGTATACCTTTACTAATCAACTCAATTTTTTTTTACATGTGTAATTTTAGCTTCGCAAGAATTCTAGCTTCCATGTTATCATCGAGAAGGATATTATCAGGCTTAAGATCTCTGTGAATTATACGTGGATTATGGCTGTGTAGATATTCGAGCCCAGCAGCTACTCCTAAAGCAATTGTATGGCTAGCTGTAATGTTTGAAAAATTCGTCATTTTAAATTTCTGAAAATGAACGTGAAAGTTAGATGGCACTTGTATTTGGATCATATGTATTTTTGAGGTGCATTAGGACACTCCATACATTAATAATTGGATTAAAGTGTGAAATTAAATGTCTATTGTTTTGATTGAGGATTTATGAAATAGAAATTCTCTGAATAAAAACACTCTCCGTTAAATTTCAACTGCAAAGTAAAGAATCTCGGATTATAATCAGAGACTACTAATTTCTGCCGAGACGAAATTTAATACAAGGATCAGAATTGATATTCCACGAAATTATGAATTCAATTTCCCGAATCAGTTGGTAAGTAATAAACACGAATAAGTGACTGTTAAATCATTATTATTATTATTATTATTATTATTATTATTTTGGAAGAGAGAGCTATTTTTTCTTCTTTTGAGCATAAGTGAAAGTGTTTTTTTAGATGAAACGGTAAATATAAAACAAAAACTAAATTTAGTATCACTTTTTTGGTTTACAATTTTAAAAGTGGCAATTTTGGTATCTGTAACATGATATTTAAAATTTATAAATATTTTCTAAAGATTATGCTATTAATTTTTATTGATCCCGTAATTATAACATTTCCCTCATTGTTTAGAGAATTAATGAACTTACCATTAAAATAGTTGAGTCTAAATTTTTACTATTTTTTCTGAACTAATTAACTTTAACTAGAGGATAGGCTCCACCCGTACAAGCCGAAAAGAGAAATGGATCGGTTCAAGATGATCCGTACGTGACAGGATAGAAGTCCCAGCTTAGAGAGGATAAAAGGCCCAGCTCAACGGGTCTAGAGCTAGGCCAGGTTAATCATGAGCGGGTCAAAGTCAATTTCTAGAAAAAATTCAAAAAATGAGCTAAAAATAGTTTTAACACTTCTATCCCTCCTATCAAACACCATAAGTATTACTTTAGGTCCCGTTCATTTCGTTGATTCGAGTTTAGAATTTGAGTTTTGTTACAGTAAAAAGTTCTCACAAACAATCACATCTAATTTTTTTGCTACAGTAAAAAACTCTTACATAAAATCACATTTCAACTCGAATTACAATAATTCTTTTCATCCTTCACATTCTTCATTCTTCTAATTCTCTTCATCCATCGTACCAAACAGAACCTTACTCAGTCTAAGTTCAAAACCCTAAACTTTAGTCTTTACATTTTCTTAGACATATGCTTAAAATTTAGTTTTGGTTTCATTTACATTTTTAAAATGATGAATCTCATCTCTACCCCTCAAATTTTAAGGTCTCCCATTTTACTATCTGAATTTTGTATTACTCCAACCCCTTTTGTTAGGTCGTTTGTCAATAACATACAAAAAAAAAAAGAGAACTTAGGTGCAGCCATGTCATCTTTTCCCACTTGTTTTTCACGGGAGATCTAAGCTAAAGAACATGTTGCTGCACTACTCCATTTTTTCTTTATTTTATTTTTAACAGAAATTCTAATAAAAGAGGTTAAGTGGTACTACTTTCAAAGTCAATGAGTAATGTGGGATTTTTAAAGTAAAAGAGGGGAGTAAAGTAAGAATGACTTAAAAGTTCTTGGGACACAAGTAAAAGAATGATATTTTTTATATAGTTTTCATGAATAATTGTTTGTATTGAATCATATCTTTAAATTGTAAATTGGAATAAAGAAAAGAGTGGTTATATTTGAACCCCAAAAATTTATAAATACCCACATTAATTAATACTTTGTTAATAAAGATATGTAAAATATGTCCTTTTACACATACTATTTTTACAATACCTAATTTAACCTTCTTATATCCCCATACTAATTTTAATCTTCATTTGATTTATGGAAAACTATTCACCTTCTTGTGTTTTATATTATTTTGAAACAGTTTTATTTGTAATCTTTTTAGCTTAAGTTTTTCATTTTTGTACTGATAATTCTTTTCACTCCTACAACGACTTTGCGAAATTGTGCATAATACTATTAATACACCATTGCATGTTGCATTTTTTCAGACAGTTATAATTCTTATATATATTGATGTTAGGTATTTTGTCTAGTTGGCATGTTTGGGCAACGTGTCTATAAACTTAAAAATAAGTACTATAATGTGATTATGGTGCAGATTTGAGGATCGAGTTATGAAGAAGAGAAAAAGTTGTTTGACTTTAATTTTAGAAAGGATTAAATTGGTCTTCTCGGCTTTAATTGGAAGGGAGTAGATTTGGTGTTTTGGTGGATTTGGTACTACAATATTTGTAGCTTAATCGATTTGTTTTTGAAGAAGATTTTGTGGGAGTTATTTTAGAAACATGGTGGCTGTGATTGATTGAGATTGTGGTGCTTTTGGAAAGTTTTGGATTTTGACTTTAAGAGAATATATGGGCCGCTTAATTTCTGAGGAAATTCGGTTTAGAATTTACATGATAATTCTCAGATTTGATTGGTGCTAAATCTGAATATGGTATTTATTTGTGTGATTCAGATTTGTGTTTTAAAAGGAAGTCTTGCACTCAAAAGAAGGTGAGGGTTGTGTAATCTGAATTTGATCTCTTTTGGGTCCAGGTTCTTTGCGCAGTCTTTGGGGATTTATTGGGAAAGAATCGTGGTGATTGTTTTGAGTGATTCTTGTGATATTAAAAAGCCTTCTAAAGGTGTGTTTTTGCAGCTCACTTGGCATGCAATTATCGCGAAAAATACTTAGAAAAAGTCTATTCACGGCTTATGGTGTTGCGCGTATCTTTTGGTTAAGGTGTGTTGAATGTGGGCATGTGGCTTGTATTGAGAGAAAAATATTTTCAGACAGTGAGCTCTGTGTATGAGTTTTGTTGCTGTTTGTGTGAAGATTGTTCTTCGGGAGAAGAACTTGTTGCTTTCAAGAGAAAGCCCACTGTCAGTCAAAAGAAGTTCGTCGAGCAATTTAAAAATGAATAATGCTCGCTAGACAAGACCACTAAGAGGATTCTCTACTGCGGCGACAACATCAAGAGGAAATCTTTGAGTGTGTAAGACCGAGCGGTGCTTGTAATCATTTTATCTTAGTGAATGTTTACTTTTTGGACGTGGCCCTACAGATGTAGGTGTGCGCACCGAACTGTGTTACTAATTTATGGTGTTCTTTATGTTTTTGCACTATTATTTACTGCTTGTTTATTTTGACGTTTATGCACTATTATTTCCTGCTTAATTACTTTGACGTTTTTGCACATAATCGTTATAATTAATCGTCAGTGTTACAAAAAATGTTATAACACTCCGAAACACCTGCGTAAAGTTTTTTAATTTATCACCTATCTTTATGTTAGATTTTTTTTTTTGAAATATATATATTTTTTGAAATCTTCGACCTCAGGTCTTCTTTTCAAATGTCGTTTTTAAGCTTCTTTTTGTTGCTGGTGTCGTTTTCAGCTCACTCTTTCAAAAAATTTCAACCTAACCTAGTAAAGGCAACCTTTGCAATTGAAAACATACAAAGAATCCCCAAGTTCCTTGAATCCAAATCTAAAATTCCCTTACTCACCTATGGGGGGGAAAAAAAAGAAAAGAAAAAGAGGACGAAATTCCTCCATCTTCAGCTAACAATACAAGACTCGAACGTAAATTAAGCACAAGGGATTTCAGTTAATTATAAGCTTCTTGACATGTAAATCTAAATTATTAAGATCAGCACAATACTTGATGGTTTTTGGAATCAGCATAATAGCATTTGAAGAAGTTCTGTTTAAACGTTTTATCATTCAAGTATCTATAATCTATCATCTATCAGACTCAGTAAAAAATTTCGCTTCCAAGTACTTGATGATCTTTCCTTGGCAGAACAAATAGGTTATCTCCAAAAAGAGTCTTTCCTTTTCTCCCCTCCATAGTCCATATTTCGTTTTTGCTATGATGTTGATAAATTTTTGTTCGGATCTTAATTGAGTCCTCACATTGTTAAAATATGAACTTAACATGTGAGTTTATAACCACCTTGACACCCTCTCCCTAAAAGTTAACTTTTAAAGATAAGTTCTATCCTAGTTAAGTTTCACAGTGTTAAAGTATGAGTTTTAACATATGGGTTCATAACCACTTGAACACCCTCTCCCTATAAGCTAGCTTTTAAGGATGAGTTCTACCCAAGGGGATTGTAACAATTTTCTGACCATTTTCAAGCCCCAAGTCCCAAAAGATAGTGGAATATAAACAATGTAAAGCCTCAAATCAATTACAGACAAGAAGAATAACTGTGTTTTAACAGCGTATACAAAGTTCAAATACAAGGGAAAAAGAAGAGAAGATTATCTAAATCCAGATGGAATAGAGCGGCCGGAAGGAGGCAAAGCAAGAATTAGCAGGCAGCATTCCAGGAAGTAAAATAACCACCATGCATGCTCTTTACTTGCCAAGCAAACGACGACCACGCTCGTTGGCACCTCTAACGCGGTAATTCAGCTCATCAACATCATCATACATATGATCCAGAGCCTTGTTATGCCTGCAAAGTTCACAAAGTAATCTCAATTAGAAATGTTTTGGCACTAGTCGAACAAAAACATTAAGCCTTGTGCCTTGTTAACAGGATGAAAAGAAAAAAAACATGGCCTTTTTTGTCACACAGAATTCATAGAAGATGCAGAGATCTTTGTGCCATCATCATTGCAACTGACCTCTCAATTTCAGTTCCCATGTCAACAGCCATATCCTTCAACTCTCCCAACATGTTACTTAAGTCCGAAAGTGCATCATCTTGCTTTGCCTTTTCTACCTGGTATAAGGCGATCAGGAATGAAGATGTGAGGATCAGAAAATAAGAAAGAATACTCTACAAATTTGGAAGCTGAATTCAGATTTACACTAGATTTTTTTTTTCTTTTTTTCAAAATGACATTTCTACATACTTAACAATTAAAATAAATGGGGTTAAAACCACCTAATGTCAACTGCAAAGACCACTTTTGACGCTCTGAAAAACTAAGGACTTGATATACGAACCTCGACTTTCTGATAAGCATCTGTTGGTTCAGGGTGCAGTGTTTGTGCCTTTGTCCGTGCCTTGGGGAGAGGAGCCAACCCCAATTTCTCCCTCTGCTCCATGTGAGCGACTTTCCTTTGGACATCATCTAAAAATTCAAGTGATGCAAGCGTATAAGAAACAGGCAGCAAAAGAAACTATGCACAGAAAAGAGTAACATAATTCAAGCAACAATCTGCTTTTCCATATTTTTCCAAAACTGTGGTCTTATTATTACGGTTAAGCTTAAGCAGCAAGGATCATAACGAGCCAGATATATGAAACTAATATAAATAGCTAACCTCCTACTATAACAGGGCCTTTTATTTGACGGGTTTTCTTAGGCTTCCAAGTCTTTGAGAAGATGCCCCCAAGGCTTCCTAGAAGCTTCTCACCCTGGAATAATGCAATCATTATCGTTAAATTATGCATTTTACTTGAAGTATCATCAAAGAAACTGAGACTACATTAATAAAGTTGTAACGGTTGTTTTCAGAGAAAAACAAATGCAAAAAGAAGCATTTTCATTCTTTCTCAATTTATTAACCACAAGGCATAAGTCTATTATTTAATATGGCATACAGAAAAATCATTGTTTGTTCTCTAATTACAGTTCGATTTCACATATAGAAACTTACCCGACTAAGGTCATAATCAATGTCAGCTGCAACTGTGTGGGTCCTGGTAATTTGCTCACCCTGATGATGCAAGAGAACCAAAGTCTTCGTAGCATCCTCTCTCATATCCTCAGCAATCTTCAGGCAGTTATTGACAGACTTTGTAGTCTCTTCGGCCTTGTACACTGCATAGTCCTCCAATTCTTGCACCGATTGGTTCTCTAATCCTCCCGAATCGCGGAAATCGTTCTTGTACTTGTTCCTTGCTGCCAAAGTGGATGAGTGCGAGTACAAAGACGACGTTGTTCCTCTTCCTTGATCATCATCATCAAAAGGGTTGGTGCTGGATTCCGGTACAAACAACGTGGGCTCAGAAGAAGTCCTCCTCGAGGAATTATGTTTTGGCTTGGTCTCAATTTCATCATCAGAGTCAAATGGGTTCGTGCGAGAAGGATTAGGATATACAGGGTCAACCGTGTTATGTTTGCCAAACTTTAGAGGAGATTTCTTTAACCCAAACATCTTTCGGCGGGTGAAATTTACAGTATTTTAATTTGTTAAGGCAATGGGGAAGAAGATCAAAAGATCTTGATGGATACTAAACAATTATTGATGCAAATGAATTCTGTACAGAATCAACAAATCCTGAAAAAGCGGAAAAATGCAAAACCAATTTGTTAGATAATCCTAGAAGGGGGGAAAAAGAGCATCAATGTTGGCAAAGCAGATTGAAAAAGAATTCTTTGAGAAGTGTTGAAAAAAACCCAGGCAAAATATTTCAACGATCTATTTTTTTCAAAGCTTTCTAAAAAACACTGTTATAACGGTTCAAAAAGAAGAAAAAAAGACAAGAAAACAGGACCCAGTTCCAGAATCATAGATTTGGATACCAAAAAAAAAAAAAAAAAGAAAAAGAAAAAGAAAAGCGGGGAACATATATGATAACCATGGATTTGGAGCGTACAAATGAAGTGGAAATGATATAACCAAGATGATCGCTAAATTGTAAATCAACTACAGATTTTGTTTCTTGCTATTTTGAGGCAATTTGAGTAATTTAACAGGTGAAATTTATTAAAGAAACAAAATCTAACCAGAAAAATTCTAGGTCATTAATTCTCCATCATTTAATTTTCAGAAAACATGAACCTTTGGCAAGATCAAAAGAACAATTTGACTTGATTGAATAGACTTCCTCCATTCTTAACAACCACGGCCAAAAAAAAAAAAGTCAATTTCTTCGCTTTCTTTCCATTTCCTTGAATTTTTTTTCCCTTTTTCCGGGCAACCAAACAGAAAGTTGAGGGGCCAACGAAACGGAATTGAAGTTGGCCGTACGATATGAACAAAAAATAAAAAAAGGAGAAAACCCAAGTGAAAATTAGAGAAACCCTAAGAAAATCGATTGAGGTGAAAGGAAAAGGAATTGGGTACCTGAGAGAGGGAAGAGCAGCAACTGTAGGATAGAATCTGGGGAGAACTCAAAGACGAGTTTATCAGACAAGGCGACCAAGCGGAAAGTTTATCTTCGGAGGAGAGAGAGAGTTTTTAGAGAGGGAAAG